ATTACGAACTTCTTGTAAAAATACGATGGTAGCTTTTTCATCCAAAATTATCTTACAAATAGCTTTGATTCGAATCGAAAGATTTTTTTCATTCAAACTATCAATATTATATGTTATATGACGAAATAAACGAAGTTGATTATCATTCTTATCATGTTGAATTTTAGCTTTTCTATGGAATAACGATAAAAAAAAGTTACGATAAAAAAGAAAAATGGAAATTAAAATTCTGTTTGCCATACTTGTTTACAGGATCATTATAATCATCATCATCGTTATTATCTTCGACATCGACATTTTTACCATCCTGTTGTTGTTTCTCTTTTTCTTGACGACAATAATCATCATGCATCCATTCAAAATAATCATTAATAGCTTCAACAACTTTCCATGAATGTTTTATCAAATATTTTCGGGCCGTTTCTAAATTACCTTCGGTAACAAGCATAAATTCATCAATCAATTTCTGTTGATCAACGTTATTATCATTATTCATGGTTGACAAAATGACAAAGAGCTTAATGATGATCTTAAGTATGATAATAATGGATTATGAATGAAATGAAAAATGTCAATTTTCAAAAAGTCATGCTTCGATGCATCATTGCAACAAAAAAAAAATATAGTATCGATATTATCGATATTAGGATTCGATAGTTAAATCCCATTAATAATAATAAAAATAGATTCTTGTTTTATGGATTCGATTGTTTGATGAAACATGAGAATTTCGTTGATCAACTCTAAATGTTTTTTTTAAACAAAAAAAAAACGAAATTGTTTTGTTGTCATTTTTTTAGGTTTCACCCAATATTGTTTTTTTTAATAAAGAATAATTTTTGGTACTTTTCCGTTCGACAAATTAAAAATCGAATAACGTGCCTTGTTGAATCAAGGAATATTTTTTTTTTTTCGTCAAATATTTGTCAAACAAAATGAAATAACTAAATCATCATAATCATCGAACAATAAGTATGATCGACAAATTAAAAAAACAAAAAAACAGTAAACATCAGACATGATGATGATGATGAACAAGAGATATCTGGTATAATCTAGTCTGATAAAACATGATAATAACATGAAATGTGAAACAAAAACACACAGAGTATCGATTTGTCATTTTTTTTGTTTGATTGACAATTTGTTTCCTCTTTTTTTTCTCGATTTCGATTATTATTATTTAGCAAATGAAATTGAATTATACAAACACATTTTGGGCTGTCCAAATCAATCATTTGAACAAATTTTTTTGCTAACTGCTCCAATCAATCAATCAACCATCAGTGATGATGGTAAATTCTTTGAAAATACTCAAAATAACCCCTTTTTTAATCGTCATAATCAACCGCTTTATGAAGATTTTAAACCAAAACAAAATTGGTGGCCGAACAAGAATTTTTTTCTGCTTTCAAATTCACCCGAATAGATTGACAATCCGAACAAAA